TGCTCTGTCCCAGCCCCAGTGAGACACGGAGATTTCCATTGGTAGCGCCTTTGCCTGGAGCACCCCAAAGCACTGGAACCAGCAGGACGGAGCACCGTTATCCGCTTTATGCACCAGGGGAAACTGAGGCCCAAAGATGCTGAGGGGAGGGTGGGCTGAGTTCACACAAGGCACAATGAACGGCCGCCTAAGGCCATCCGACGGCGGGGAGGTACCCGGCCCCCTGCGTCCGATACGGCGTTCTCTCTGCCTTGGGGCGCGAGTGGCCCCGACCGTGCAGTGGGGCGCGGACTCACTGGTTCCCGCGCTGGTCTGGGAGGCCTTTCTACTGCACCGCGGGCTGGGGAGAGCAGGTCTGGAGAGCTCGGCACGGCCCGCTTTACCGGAGCGCCCTGGGAAGCAGGGGGGAGGGGCGGGGGGCGGCCCTGTGTTCCCAGCTGGCTGGGCGGCCTAGTGGCCAAAGCAGGACTCCTGGGCTCGGGGGGCGCGGACTCACTGGTTCCCGCGCTGGTCTGGGAGGCCTTTCTACTGCACCGCGGGCTGGGGAGAGCAGGTCTGGAGAGCTCGGCACGGCCCGCTTTACCGGAGCGCCCTGGGAAGCAGGGGGGAGGGGCGGGGGGCGGCCCTGTGTTCCCAGCTGGCTGGGCGGCCTAGTGGCCAAAGCAGGACTCCTGGGCTCGGGGCTAGGCTATTTGAGCAGTGTCACAATCCAAGCGGGGTGCTGGGAGCATCATTCGCCTTGTGCCTCAGTTTCCCCTTTGGTAAGGGCGGGACTCCTTCCACCTGGCTGGCCCTGTCCCTGACCTGGCTCAACTCCCATTGATGTGAACGGGGCAGGACTTGGGGAGCGACCGGGACCCACCGCACCGGCCCATGGGGGCCCCTCACCTCTGCACTCGGCATCCGATACAGGGGTGCATTCCTTGACCAGCACCTCGTTCTCCTCGCAGATGGTGCAGGGCAGGCAGGGGTCCACGTGGTTGGCCTCATCGGAGAAGGTCCCCTCGGGGCACTCCTCACAGATGGTGTCCTGCGTGTCCTCGCACGGGAACACCAGGCCGTAGCCCACCTCACAGACCTTGCACACCTCGCACTGCTCGCTCCCCTCGTCCGCACTCGGTGCACGGCTTGCACGCCGCCGTGGCGCTGACGGTGTCCGAGTAGGTCACGCCTGCAGGGGGAGAGCGCGCGAGCAAGAGATCAGTGTGGGGCCGCGGTTATGCAAGGAGCCCGCGTCCGGCGGAGATGGGAACTGAACCGGGGCTCTAGACGGGGCGACGGTCGCGCCAGGCCTCCCTGCGCTGGGCGCTGTACAAACACCACACAGAGAG